GTTTTTTTTCCTGCTTTCCAACTTTCTGTTGAAAGGAATGATCTGATGCCTTTTTCCAAACTCCTGCCCTGATGAGAAAACCCAGGCGCTCCCAGCACGCATGTACATTTTCAAAGTGAATGGACAGATTGAGCCACTTCTCCATGGCCCCTGCTTCACCTCCGTGAAGTCTGCAAATCTGTCCGCAGATGTGTTCTGTGCCAATGGGTTCTGATTCCTCACCTGCCACCTCTGTTTCTGGCCCATCCAGAATGGAAGGAAGAAAGAAAGAATGAAAGATAAGGAGACAAGGAGGGCAATGCACGAGAAGCTCCTGCTGTTTTTATGGGGTAATTCAGCCCTGAATTTTATTTATTTATTTTTAAGATTTTATTTATTTATTTGACAGAGATCACAAGTAGGCAGAGAGGCAGGCAGAGAGGCAGAGAGAGAGGGAGGAGGAAGCAGGCTCCCCGCTGAGCAGAGAGCCCGATGAGGGGCTCGATCCCAGGACCCTGAGATCATGACCTGAGCCGAAGGCAGAGGCTTTAACCCACTAAGCCACCCAGGCGCCCCTCAGCCCTGAATTTTAATAAGAGCTCTCTTATTCCTCCTCCTCTCCCTCTGCTTTCCCTTCTCTAAGGCGACAGTGAGGTTCGGGTGGATTCTTCCCGGAATGAGGAAGAACTGCTATAAGGCGAGGCATTTATTCAGTTCCTGACTCTATCTGCAGCAGTCAATAAAACAGGTCCCTGTCTCTGAGAAGCTCACACCCTGGTGGGAGGGGGCAAGAGTAAACAGTATCTGAGCACATGGAGACGGTACAATGTAAAGATGCAGGCTCAATGGAACACAGAAAAAGCAGAGCAGGGGCAGGGAGATTTCAGAGTGCCGGGAGGGAGGGTGAGTTCGCTGCTGTAATGAGATCAGGATAAGCCCCTTGGAAAATGTGAGGTTTTGAGGGAAGTCTAGCATGGAGGGAGAGTTAGCCACACGCGCATTCGGAAAGAGCTTTCCCCGTGGAGCCTGAGCAAATCCCCCGAGGTGGGAGCATGGCTGGAGGGTGAAGCCACAGCATGAAGACCTGGTGGTGGGGGCAGAGGAGGTGGCCAAGGGTGAGAGAGGAGCTCCCCCACTGTAAGGCCTGAGGCTGCTGGGAGGATTTGACTCTTTGAGTACAATGGGGGCACCATTACCAGTTTCGAGCAGAGACCTGACCAGGCAGGCCAACGCTGGCTGCTGCACCGTGAACTGTGAACTGTGAACCCTTCGGGTAAAAGTGGGGAGATCCTTTAAGAGACCATCACAGTAGCAGTGGAGATGGTATGAAGAGGTTGGATTCTGGATGTTTGGAAGGCAGAGCCAAGCAGCCTGCCAGGGTGGGTGAGAAGGTAAGAAAAGAGAAATGTCAATAACAACTTCAAGATCTTTCATCTGAGCAAATGCTAAGAATATGTTGTGGATGAAGGGTTTTGGGGTCAGGGAGATCTGAGAGATCTATTAGACCTCCTGCTAGAGACACTGAGTAGGCCATCAGAGTAGTGAGTTGTATATAAGAAGCCCCAATCTTATTGCCCTATGGTCTTCTTGTCCCTCCACTAAACTCCACGGCTCTAGCGGGCCGGAGAGGTCTGAGAATTCAAAGGCCCTAACATTAGACCTGTTTTAAGCCACGTAACTTAGAGGCCAGTCTGAGTGAACCACAAAGCTCCTCATAATCAAATCACTTCGTGGCCCAAACTCTGGCACTTTCTCTCCAGATGGGGAGAAGCAATCCTCCAACTGTTTGAAAATGAATTTTTTACTTCTAATCCATTGAAGAGTGATACTCTGTAACATACAAAGTCAAATGGCTGTCCTTCATGGTAACACTGAAGTGCTAAAAAATTTCTCAGTACTACTTCTTAACTTATGTACTTACATTGTTTGAACAGGTAAGAAACTGTTCATGGACTGACACTGGTCCATACCTTAAGTGGCACTAGTCCAGGGAACTGTTATCAGCTGCATGACCCCGTTGTTTGTAAACCCTGCAGTGGTCATTCTTTGCATGAATTCCATGTCTAGCAGGTTCCCAAGGAGCAACTTGACTTCCTTTGACTTCTCTGACCCGTTAGAGTGGGGGAGATTTAGACCCCTCCACTTGGACCTTCACACCAGGAAAGAGGGTGAGGCCAAGGTTGGCGTTAGAATGGAGACAAACATGATGACATCTGAGAACCCATGATGACAGGCCTTGTCATACTTCCGTGGGGCCACACCATGTAGTGTCCGGGGAAGAAAGGACAAAAGTTGTAGCCCATAGTTTCCTTGGCAAAATCCCTGAGTTTCAGAACAGTATTGAGCTTTCCAGAGGTAAGAGAGAGCCGCAAGCTTGCCATCCCTGTGAGGAACACTATTTGACTCCAGGCTTTGGAGCTCCTCATGATATTCTTTATTTCAGATAAATGGTCCGATGTTTGGCTGAAGAGTCTTCCATGACAATCACTTCATTTCCTCCCAGCACACAGGCTTCACTAATATCCACAGTCCTTTGTGTGTGGGCAGTGGGAGGCCCTCAAGTGAAACTCCATTCTCCTATGATTTTATGGAAGTCTTGGAGGATTACTAGAGTAAGCTTTCCTTGGTCCTCTTACAGGCTATCTATAGAACCTTCACACTGATGTCCAGTACCAAGATGGAGGCATGACCTTTAAGTCATTGGTGATAGTACTTTCTTGACCTACCAACTCAATTTGAAGAACTGGGGGAAACACTGGGAATGAGGTAGTTACTGAGAAAGTGTAAGGCTGGGGTTGGGGCAAGGGGAGTATTAGGTAATTCGGAATGATCAAAATCAAGGAGCAAAAGGGGACAGTGGAGGGCCAGACAGATGACCTCCCACTTAACTGGAAAGTTTGTTCCTGTCAGAACTGGTTCAGTCACCCCCAAGGCACCAATAGCTCCAGGTGTGGACTCCATCTCTATGTCTCCATGTCCACCAAACAATTTCTTCTCTCCCAACCCCCTGGCCCCCAGTGTTTCGTGTTCTATGGACTGCAAAGATGGCTGGGGTCAGCCTAGCAACGACTCTAGTTTTGTCCTTAACCAGCTACATTCACTTGTTGCTTCCTGGGTTTCAAAGTCTAACAGAGCAAGTCCTCCATTTCTGCCTCCTTTCACCCTCAAATTCTCATTAGTATTCCTTCAGCGGCAAGTAGCAATTAAAAGTGGATTAACGTAATAAGGGTTTACTTTTCATCTAGAACTAGAAGCCTGGAAATAGGCACCTGATGGCCTTGTTTTAGCAGCTCAGCACTTTCAAATCAGGTTCTCTTCCCCTCTGCTCTACCAATTAGTACAAGTCTGGACATCCACGGCTACATTCAAGACAGGAAAAGGCAATGCCGGCCACATCTGCCCCTTTTAGCAGGAAAACAAAAATTGCCCCAGAAATCCTCAGCGACCTCCAATTACGTTTCACTGACAAGATCTTACACAACTATCCCTAACTATGTGGCAATATGGTGAAAAGAAAAGTTAGCATTTCTAGTCTCTAGAGTAAAAGCAAAGAATAGGAATGGGTGTTTGGTTTTGTTTATGTTTGGTTTTGCCCATCCCCCCACCCCGTGTAACTTTTTGTTAAATTGTATAAAACATTCTGATTCTAGCAAATAGTCAGTGAGCCCCTCCATGATGCTCTAAGAACTCTAGTTCAAAGATGTTAGTCTTCCTTCTAAACTCCAGGCAGGGAAAGACCTGGCAAGTCTGATCATTCCCATGGTAAATCCCAATTTCGGAGACCCCAAATCTCAACAGACTAATTTATTTTGAGCCCTCCATGCCCTGGTAAGACCTTTCCCCATCATTCTTCTATACCAAACCTCCAACACTAATTTTAAATTGAGAGGAGAACTGAGAAAATAGGAAACTGACTGTGGGGAGTGCAAGAACAAACAGGAAAAGGAAAATGAAAACCTTTGGTTGGTACAGATCATTGGATTGTAAAAGAAAAAATACTTTTGGGTGCCTGAGTGGCTCAGTCAGTAACGTGTCTGATTCTTGATTTTGATTCAGATCATGATCTCAGGGTCATGGGATTGAGCCCCGTGTTTGGGCTCCATGCTGGGAATGGAGCCTGCTTAAGATTCTTTCTCTCCCTCTCCCTCTGTCCCTCCCCAGCCCTTGTTATCTCTCTCAGAAAAAAACAAAAGAACAAAACAAAAAAAAAGAAAAATTAATTTTTATGGGTAATAAAAATTAAACATTTAGAAATGCATATGAACCTATATCTGCTCTAAAAAAATGAAGTCCTTAAAGGAAAAAAAAAAAAAAAAGGAAGGCATAATCCTGGCTGGTTAAATAAATAAGCAGGCTTGTTCTTGGGGTATACATAGTATTTATGAGATTTTTTAATTAAATAGAAAAATGTGAATTACTATGGTTTGGGTGATGTGCTGTTTTCTAAATTGGATATAGCATATCAAAAAATATCCCTCTGTAAATAATTTGGTGAATTGGCAATAATTTACCTCCCAAAGACTTTCTTATGAAGTGTGAAGCAATTTTTTAAAAAAAATTTTATTTATTTGACAGACAGAGATCACAAGTAGGCAGAGCAGCAGGCAGAGAGAGAGGAAGGGAAGCAGGCTCCTTGCCCAGCAAATAGCACGATGCAGGGCTTGATCCTAGGACCCTGGGATCATGACCTGAGCCGAAGGCAGAGGCTTTAACCCACTGAGCCACCCAGGCACCCCATGAAGTGTGAAGCAATTTTGATAAATCAAATGAAATCGTATGTCCTCTAACATAACAAATATGAACATAAATTACATTTAATGTTTTGCATATACTTTCTAAAAACAATCCACCAGTAAAAAAAAAAAAATGCACATGAACAAGGAGACTTCTTAAAAGGATCAAACAAAATCTTTCTCATTTAATCAAACCTGTTCTCAACATAAACAAAGGAGAAATTATCATTTCAATCTGAAAAAGCAGAACCAGGGGTTTTGGGAGATAAAGAGTCGCTTGGAAATCACCTGGATCAAAGCCCTCATTTTGTAGATGAAGAAACAAGAACCAAGAGTCAAGCAAGATAGCCCAAAGCCAAAGTCTATCGGCGTGACGGCAGTCTGGACCAGAAGCCATAATCCCAATGTCCTGGCTCACCCGTTCCACTGTGCCATACTAGCTCCCAGCCTAAGACTGGTCTTTTTCTTGGCGGGGTTATCTTGCAGCCATAGAAACCAAAAATGCACAACTAAGCATCCCCTAGTGGGTTTGCAAACTTTTTTTTTTCAAAGTATGCTGGCAGTTGGCAAAAGTAACTTGATCTTATTAACAGCAACCCATAATTCAAAAATACCTTCAAAAGCAAAAAAGAAAACGCCTTTACAGGACAAAAGATCATCCCTGCTACAGAAAGAAGCATGTACACTACTTGCGGGGGTACACAGCGTTATTTGGTGCTTTACAATTTTACTTATAATAAATTACCATTATGGTCGAAGCCTTAGACACACACAAAAAGCCCCCTGCTCATAAGCACTCAATATCGCGTGCTGCGATAGCCACCGAATTGTCGGTACTCGAAGATTCAATGTCCTCTCCCATGCTGGCTCGACCCTCTCCTATCTGCGTTTGCTACCATCACTCCACCGAAACAGCTTTACTAAGATCGACAGCGGATGGCCAGCAAACGCAGTGGTTATCTTTCTGTACACATCTATGTTCACCTCTCCGCAGTGCCATCCCATTTGTCCACCCCCTCTCCCACTCTTATCCTCGGCTTCCTCCTATGTCTTTTTCTTCCTTCTCAGAATTATTTTCCTCCACCAGTGTATGCCGGAGCTCCTCAAGGCTTGGCTGTAAACGGTCTTCTTGTTTTGTATATGCTTCCTAGGGAAGCATCATATCCATCAGAGCTCAGCTCAGTCGGTTTTTCTTCATGGGCACCCTCACGGACAGCCAATTCTGGACCAGATTCTTGTTATATGCTCTAGAGAAGTATGTGTTTAGCATTTATCTGAATTTGTCATCATAAACTCACTTTGTTTTTATTGAATGCCTTATTTTTAATGTCTTTTTTAATTTAATTAATATTTTCTCTGCTAGAAAGTATAGCAAGTAAATCCAGTTCACGTTTGGAACTAGAAACGCAGAACAGAATGTATCTAATAAATCTGGTCTCCATTCTTTCCATCAGACATTCGCCTTTGGCCATCTGTATATTCATTCACCCAACAACTACTTACTGATGGAGTCGATGTGGAATTCTTGATTAATGCTATTGCTTTTATTTTTTAAAAAAGATTTTATTTATTTATTTGTCAGAGAGAGAGAGAGAGTGAGAGCGAGCGCACAAGCAGGCAGAGTGGCAAGCAGAGGCAGAGAGAGAAGCAAGCTCCCTGCTGAGCAAGGAGCCCACTGTGGGACTCGATCCCAGGACCCTGGCTTAACCAACTGAGCCACCCAGGTGTCCCAATGCTGTTTCTTTTAAATAAATTAAAAAAAAAAAACTAGTAACTTATAAAATGACAAGGTTTAAAAAGCATTTTTAAAAATGAGACAGGAGAGGGGCACCTGGGTGACTCAGTTGGTTAAGGGGCTGCCTTTGGCTCAGGTCATGATCTTGGGGTCCTGGGATTAGGCCCTGCATTGGGCTCTCCGCTGAGCAGCGAGTCTGCTTCTCTCTCTGACTCTGTGATTCCTCTCCCTCTGTGATTGCTTTCGCTCTCTCAAATAAAATCTTTAAAAAAAAAAAAAAAAATAAAAAGTAAATAAAAATGAAACAGGAGAAAGCCTATTTCATTTCAGATACAGAGTTCTCCTTTAAGGTATGTTATTATTTTTTTTTAAGATTTTATTTATTTATTTTAGAGAGAGAGAGCATGATTGGGGGTATGGGGTAGAGGGAGGGAATCCCAAGCTTGGGACTGATTCCCCACTAAGCATGGAGCCCGGCATTGGGCTCCATCTCAGGACCCCGAGATCAGGATCTGAGCAGAAATCAAGAGTCAGATACTTAACTGACTGAGCCACCCAGGCACCCGATGTTATGACTATTTTTAAAAGATTTCATTTTTTTTTAAAGATTTTATTTATTTATTTGACAGAGATCACAAGTAGGCAGAGAGGCAGGCAGAGAGAGAGGGGGGAAGCAGGCTCCCTGCTGAGCAGAGAGCCCGATGTGGGGCTCGATCCCAGGACCCTGAGACCATGACCTGAGCTGAAGGCAGAGGCTTAAACCACTGAGCCACCCAGGCACCCCTAAAAGATTTCACTTTTTAAAGTAATCTCTATACCCAACACCGGGCTTGAACCCACAAGCCCAAGATCAAGAGTCACATGTTCCTCTGACTGAGCCAGCCAGGTGCCCCTGTGTTAAATTTAAAGTAACATGAAAATTTTATATTAGATTCTGCATTTTTGGGAGCTGGACAGGCCAGCATTACCACTGCAAACACACACAGATGCTCTCCTTCTTTCACCGGTTCTATAAAGTTCTGACACACAATATGAAAGTAAAAATAACAGGTTCTCTTTATTTGTAACAGGTAAAAACTGAAGTTCGGCCATTTAACACAGAATTAAAAACAAGTACAGTTACATCTGTAACAAAAGGACAGTGAGGGTTCATCCACAGCACAGTTTCCGTGGCTGCGCCCAGTTATTCCTCCAGGAATTTCCTTTTCAATGGGAAGATCATCTTCAGGGCAAACACTGTTGATGAGACTCCAGTTCCAGTGGTAGGAATTTTATTCATTTATATATACACATACCCTGACCCGATCTTGCTCTAACCTTTTTATTACCTTCCTACTGATATTAGTCATTTATTATAACCCTCCCCAATGTGATTATACCCCCCCCCAAGTATTTACAGTTAAAAAGAATTTCCGCATAGCACAAATCAACTCAGTTGTTCATACGCAGAAGTCACATAATCCTTGCTGCACAGAAATACTTTTCTCCAGCTTTGGGGAAATAATTATATGTTAATTTAAACACATCCAGAGAACATTTCTTAGACAAACATAATGCCTGAGGCTCATCTGGTAAGAAAGATAGCTTCATAGTTCTTAGCACAATAAAGTATATCTTTAGAAACTGAGAAGAATCAAAGAATATTTAAAACAAAAACAGAAAATCACACACACTAGTTACTTGACAATTGACCGATACATTGAAATTCTGCCAAAACAGATTTTCAGTGAGGTTTTTCATTTCAAACAGGCCAGGGGGAAAAAAAATCCTAAAAGGTATATGTCACATTTTTAAAAGAGTTATTTATTACAAGAGGGACTGTTGCAGTCAATTTATTGTGAGAAGTTACCAACAACAGCTTTTAATGCTCAACTGTGAAGAAGCTGGAAGGCAGAAACACATTTTGCAAGGAAATGTGTGGCACTACATTGCCTTCGGTCAAAACCCTGTATTTCCCTTGTAAGCTAATTTTAAAAAATTATCCCCTTAATAACTAATGGAACTGGTTAAATATTGACTATTTTTCTACTGCTCTTTAAAAGCTTTCCACATATTTTCACCACGTTTCTGCTTAATGTTTGAATAGTATTTGCCCTGACGTGTGGCACGACAATTTTCCTCAGCCACCTTAGAGAATTCACTACAAAGCTTTCAGTGTCAGAGAAAGCTCCATGCCGGCCTCCAACGTGGAAGGCAGGGTGACAGCAGGGAGGTGATAGCAAAAAGTTACCAAAAGGAAATGCTCAAAGAGGCCAAGAGAACAAACAGGATAAGACACTTGCTCAGTTCCATCCACCGTCTCCTCTTTGGGCCATTTAAACATGGAGCTGTTCTGTTTTTTAACATCCTATACAGTTTCTAGAGTTCACTGAGAGCTCAGAAACAAGAGAATAGCTATAGCAACTGCAGTTTTCTGGATAACGTGTAACTTCTCCTATCCATTTTCTCTGAAAAAAATGATACTTTTAGATTTGGATTTTGTCTTAATGGGCTTCTTTCCTACACTTTGCTTTCTATAAATGCTATTTCATTCCTGTTAGTGAAATAAGCAGGAAGTTACACTAGAGAACTAAAATAGAAATGCTAGATTTAAATTCTGACTTGAACACTTTGGCTGAAATTATAAAAGAGCTCACACTGGGGGCCACCTATGAGTAAGCAGAAGAGTCCTCGCTGTCCTTCCTTAGAAGGGTCTGAACACTTACAAACCACGACACATGTGTATGCGGTGATCTGGACCCCTCTGTCCCTATTATAGAACTTTAATTTCATGTATTTCATTTGGTATAATCAAATCATCCAACAGACTTCATATAATCAGTCCTGGAAAAGAAGCATGAGCCATGGTCTTAGAGGTATTCTAAAAGAGAAAGTCCTATTTATGAATAAAATTTCCTTTGTGTTACTTCTTGCAAACCATCATTCAGTGAATTTTGCGATACAAACTTTTCCTCTTCTATGAAAGTAACTTGCACACTTAATTTACATTTTTTTTTTAATCTTCCTGGGGTGACTTTCTCTTCTCCACCAAAACCTAATTACGGACGCTGTACCAGTTTACTCTTACTTCCTTCCTGTTCACTGAGTTTAAAATGGGTATAGGTGAGAATGCCAAATAATGTGCATAACATGCCAAGACCCTGATTAATTGACAATGGATCCTTAAATAAAACATAGCCTCCAAATAAAGTAATGCAGAACTTGAAGTGTCCAAACATGTTATAGCTGAGGTTTTTGGCTAAGGATCAACAAAACCAACAAGGTAGATTGTGACAACCACACACTCACACACACACTGAGAAGGGAAAAGAAGCTAGATGTTACATTCACACGGGCGCGCACACATACATGCGAAGCAAAGCCTTCCCGTGGCTGGAGAACTGCATGAATCAAGTACAGACTGATTCGCACCCCCACCTCTCCGCCCCCGCCCCCATATAGGAAACAAGCACTTGGGCCTGGGTCAATCCCAGGCTTCAGCAACAGTGACCGGAGACTGCCTCAACTACCTCGGCTCTCTCTCTCCAGAGCAAAGGGGCTATGCTATAAGGTTGGAAAGGAAT